TATAAGCACTAAAACTATAAATTTCTAAGGAAAACTTGGCATAAATCTCCATGCTCTTGAATTAGGCAATAGTTTCTTAGATATGTGACCAGAAGTAAAAGCATCAAGAGAAAATGAGATAAATTGAATTTCATCAAAATTTAATATATCTATACTTCAAAGGACATCATCAAGAAAGCAAAAAAGGGAGCCACCAGGTAGTGTGGTAGTTGAGGCACTGGACTCCCACATGGCCGACTGTGGTTCGAATCCTGGACCTAGTGGTCTCAGAATCACGCTGGGTGCATGCGTGTGCATGCCCAAAATCCCCAAAGGAGAATAGAAGAAAAGGGACTGTGGTGTGGCCATTATTCACGTGCGGTGATTTCTCATTTCCATCTCCCTATCTCTTTCCAGTGGGCACATGAGTACTTGTAGTACTTGTGACCAAAAAAGAAAGAAAGAAAGAAAGAAAAGAAAAGAAAAGAAAAGAAAAGAAAAGAAAAGAAAAGAAAAGAAACCCCACAGAATGGGAGTAAACATTTATGAGTCATCTATCTGATGAAGGGTTTTTATCTAAAGAACTCTTATAATTCAGTAACAAAAATAAATAACTCAATTTAAAAATGGCAAACAGACATGAATAAACATTTCCCCAAGAAAGGTGTACATTATACACATGAAAAGATGCTAGAGAGGCTGGGGGGTGGGTGGGGGGGGGTGACACAGTAGTAACACAGCTAGACACACTAGGGAAAAATCCTGGTTTTGCATCTCAGGGCTCCCTGAGCACTCCTTGTGTACATAGGTGCCCATGATTGGAATGGCCAAGACTTGGAAAGACTGTTGGAGGTGCCTGTGTCTCTGTATCTCTTTCCCATGGAAGAAATGAATGAATGAACTTTAAAAAAAAGATGCTCAAAAGAGTCATCAGAGGGGCTGGCAGACAGTGTGGTGGTTAAAGCCACTGGATTCCCACATGGCTGACCACAGTCCAAGTCCTGGACCTAGCAGCTTGCTTTCTCCCTTTCTCTTTCTCTGTCAAAATTAAAAAATAATAACAAATAGAATTAAATAAATGATTCTTAAAAAAAAAAAAAAATCATCAGGACAGAAAAATGTAAATCAGAACCATAATGAGGGTCCAGCAGATGGCATAATGGTTACATTGCTGGACTCCCACATGGCCAACTGTGGTTCAAGTCCTGGACCTGGTGGGTTGAAATTCACACTGGGCACATATACCTACATGCGTGCCAAAAATCCTGAGAGGAGAAAGGACTGCAGTGTGGCCATCCTTCCTGAGGGGTGATTTCTCAATCTCTGTCTATTTCTCCAGCAAGCATATGTGTCCTATAGCAAAAATTTCTAAAAAGAAGAAAATAAAAACACCACCATAATGAGATATCACTTCATACTCACTAAGACGGCTAAAACCAAATTCCAAGTTCTTAATATCCTCGCTAACACTTATCATAATAATGTTATACTATTTATTTATAGCAAATATATATTTGTAATGTTTTATACAATACTTGTTATTATAACAATGAGTGTTAGCGAGGATATGAAAAAACTGGAACCTTCATACACTGCTGGTAGGGATGTAAAGTTGTATAGCCACTCTGGAAAACAACCTTGCAGTTCTTAGAGTAAATACTCAGTTACCACATGACCTAATCCAGCAATATACTACTAAGTATATACCCAAGAGATATGAAAACTTATATCCACATAAAACTTGTATATGAGTGTTTATAGCAGCATTATTTGTAATAGTAAAAGATGAAAACAACTCAAATGCACACAACTCATGGATAAACAAAATATGGTATAGCCATATAACATTATTTGGACATAAAAAAGAATGACGTACTGATACATGACACAACATAGGTGAACCTGAAAAAGATGATAAATGAAAAGAAGCCAGACAAAAAAGTTCACACATATGATTCTATTCATATAAAAATCCAGAATAGGTCAATCTACAGAGACAGACAGACTAGTGGTTGCCTAGGGCTATAGGTGGAAGGATAAGAATATGGGAGGAAGAGGTGGGTGGAAGGGTAAGAATTTGAGGGAAAGTAGGTGAAAGCTGAAAGGAATTGGGTTTCATTTTCAAATAATGAAAATGTTCTAAAATTGTGGTGATGATTATACATATATGAGCACACCAAAGCCACTTTAAATGGGTGAACTGTATAGTATATCCATCAGATTTCATTGGAACAGTTTATCAAAAAGTAGTGAAGGGTAAAATTCCTCACCCTCCTAAGTCCTCTATTTCCTAGAGGCTAACAACACAGTTAACCTTTTCTTGGTTGTTGGCTTGATATTTTTTCTAAGTATGGACAGCTTATACCTGTGCATGTAGTAGTTGTACCAGTATGTTGATTGTAGTTTTTATTTAATATAAAATACTGTGCTGTTATTACAAAATTACTACAAAGAACAACCTATAAGTATTTTTAAGGTGTAAAATATGTACTTGTAAATCAAGCCTTACCACATATTTATCTCACTGTCTATAAGGACCACATTAACAGTCCACTGTACTCTTCCTTTCCTAAAGTATTTTCAATATGCTCCCAGTTTTTGCTGTTAGAAAACCATGCAAAGAATATCTTTGCATAATTCTGCATTCTTGTGTAAGAATTACTGTTTAGACCATCTGTTTATAGGCAAATCTGCTTACAGATTTCTTCTTCTTGGCATTACTAGTACAAAGTGAAAAGAATTATTAATTCAGATCTGATGGTATAAAATTTAAAGAATGAAGTTTAAGTGCTTGCTGCAAGCATCCAACTTCCCACAAAGTAAGGACAATTTGTTTATACCCTGGGAGCAACTCACTCTTTTTCCCAGGCCTGGGCCCGCTGGAGCTTCTCTGTATCGTTGTAGTAATTATTGACAGGGAAGGTAATCACAAGGGCAGTGGCATTACCATAGTTTTGATCTAGAAAGAAAAAGTGTGACATCAAACAGCCAATTACAAGTGTGTAGAAAATTAGAAAAATACAAAGGAAATACACTGGGCTGACCAATTTCTCATAGGAGCTACAGACTGTATCTCTGGGCTCTAAGAACGAAATAGTTTACAGAAATTGTCTGTATGGGGAATCAACAGTTAGCGTAATGGCTATGTCGCTGGACTCCCACGTAGTTGACCGCAGTTCGCATCCCGGACCCGGTGGCTTAAAACTCATGCCGGGCGCGTGTGCGTGCATGCCCAAGATCCCAAGAAGAGAATGGAGGAGAAGGGATTGCGGCGTGACCATCCCCTCTGGGGGGTGATTTTTCGCTTTCTGTCTCTATGTCTCTCTCTGTCTGTCTGGCGAGTGCACGCGCCCTATAGCAAAAAACCTCTCCAAAAAAAAAAAAAAAAAAGAAGAAATTGTCTGTATGTAGTTATATATATGATTATAAAAAGGATTTGCTATCTGAAGTAGGCACAGTTACCATTCTGGGACAGTAACTTTTTTAAAAAAACTACACAGTACATGCATGATAAAATTTCAGAGTTCAGAAAGGTTTTCAGTGAAAATTCTCTTTCATTTCCCAATTCCCAGTTCATTATCTTAGTTCTCCCCATATTGTGACCACCTTTGAATTTTTCCAGAGACACACCATGCACATACGCAAACACACAAATTTACCCCTTTTCTGCCTTACAGAAAGTAACATATTGTTCTGCACATTGTACTTAAATTTTTTTTTTTTAAATCTTGGAGACAGTTCCATTTTAGTAACTAAAGAACTTCCTTATTGTTTTTCTGTGGTGTAATATTTTCAGTATAATTTAACCAACCCTAACCGACAGACCTTTTTGCAGATTTGTTATTACAAAAATTACTACAAAGAATAACTTATAAATAATTTTACTGTGTAAAATACATATTTGTAGACTTGAGTATTACAAGTATAAGCACTGAATTAAAAACTATGTGCATTTCTAATTTTGATCAGTTCTCCCTAACTGCCCTTGAAAAAGGGTATAATATTTTTCATTCCTTTATTTAACAAAATATTTACTGATACCTACTTTGTACCAGGCATTATTTTAGATACTGTGGATATAACAAAAGAGATAAAAATCTGCCTTCCTAGAATTTATTCTAGTAACTAATTTACATTTTCACCAACAGTGGAGAATTAAGCTTATTTTCAAGAACATGAAGTTTTAACAATTCTTAGGGCTTTGTCAACTTGTTAGGTAAAAAGACTGAATGAAGTGGGATGCATCTGAATGAAGTGAGATGCATTTTACCAACAGGAGTAAGGCAGAGCATCCTCCCCACCAAATTAAGGGACACTTGTATTTCTTCATTTGTTAGCTTTCATACGTCCACTTTTCTTTTGGTTCGTTGACATTTTCTTTTTTCCACAAGAGCTTTTAATACATTACTTTAAAAAAATCTGTATGTTTGTTCTCTGCACTTGAATTTAAAATTTCTATATAGTCAGGAGACTGGCAGGTGGCGTGGTGGTTAAGGGCGCTGGACTCCCACATGGCTGACCACTGTTTGAGTCCCGGACCTGGTGGCTTGCTTTCTCTTTCTCTCTCTCTCTGACTCTGTCCCTCTTTGGTCAAATTAAATAATAAATAAAGTTAAATAAAAAGAATTCTTAAAAAAAATTTTTTTTTATATAGTCAGATTTATCAGTCTTTATCTTTTGTAGTTTTTGGTTCCTTAAAAATGCCTTCTCCATTTAAAAATTATTATAAAAAAAAATCTCTCCTGTATTTTCTTCTAGTTCTTTAACAGTTTCATTTCTTTTTTATTTTTGAGAGATTCTTGCTATAGGGCACATGTACTCACCAGAGAGACAGAAAGTGAGAAATCACGCCCCCAGGGGGAATGGCCACACTGCAATCCCTTCTCCTTCATTCTCCTCTCATGATTTTGGACATGCATGCACATTTGTCTGGTGTGAGGTTTAAGCCACTGGGTCTGGGACTTGAACCACAGTCGACTACGTGGGAGTCTAGGGATGTAATCATTATGTCATCTGCTGGTCCTGACAGTTTCATTTTTTACATTTCAAACTTTGACCATCTGGACTTTATTCTAATGGAAAGATTAAAGTAGAGACCAAATTTAATATTTTCTCCCTAAGGCTAGCCAGTTACTGATACTGTCCTTTACACACTGATTAGAAATGGTGTTTTGTTATATGAGGTGGAGTAAATTTTAAATACAGATCAGTTTCTCCCCTGCCAGAGTGAGGAAAAGAAAACCTAGATGGCCTCTTCACTGGATGAGGAAAAACCAGCTGAACCTGTAATTACACTTCAGATGCCAAAAGTGTCACATGAATTACCACCTCATCTTTTCTAGTACCATCTATTCCAAGGTGCTAAAGGAACCAGCAAAGAGCAAACCAATTGTGTTCTTCCTACTGCAAGAGTGTCCAACTTCTTAACGGATTGGGAAGAAAGAAGTCCACTAACTTTCTTTCTTT